TCTTCTCTGTGTCGAGAACCTGCGGTCTGCAGCAGCCGTACTGACTGGGAGCGTTGCCAATATTTTACGGAGTGTGTGAATGTTCGGGATTTGTTGCATTAAACTCAAGCGTCCATCGCAAAGTGGAAAAATTTGTTCTCTTGCATGGCTTCCCATTTTGTTCTTGAGATGGTCCATTCACCATTTAGAGTAAGGATATGAGCTGTTGTCATATCTTCCAGGTAAAAATCGGAGGCTGGCCGCACAGATTCCAATTCGCCTTTGGAAGCGTGATTTTGGCAACACAAATTGCGAACTTTACAGTGTTTCGCGATCGTTTGCGAAGCGCCGTTTGAGTGAAGTTTTCAGGCTATCTATGTACGGAATGAACAAGGCTCGTTTGCAGTACTCTTCCGCAGAACTACAATCGTACTTAGCTTGTATTCTTGCACTTCACTCTGAACTCCGTCGCTCTGTCTTGGCCCAGAGAAAATATTTCTCTTCCAGCTTAGTCAGCTCCAAGTCGGACTGCTCCAAGGCGACGCCCATGTCAATATATGGGCTCTGCAGATACGCAGACAAGTTGTGTGTGAGGCCTATGACTGTCTTACTAACAGCGAGGCATATAAGAAAGTTGGGCGAACAGATTCGCTGTTGGAGGCAATGCGTGGCGGATGCTGTTACTGAGTGGTGGATGCAACAGCTTATGATCACAGCATGCGGCAGCCCAGCCCCTTAATGTGCTCCGCACTGAAAAAAAAAATGGCCCCGTATCTGCATATTTCACTGCAAATGTCGTCGAAAGACGATAGTCTTGCGTCTGGAGAGAGTGAACAAAACGTTTATTTGTTGTTCTGCGCAAGAAAATCGGCGAATGGTATATTGGAGGTGCTGCATTATATGCGCGTTCACACCTGGCCTTTAAGAAATCAAATCCGGCGAAAATATCCGGAAACTGGCTCATTTCGCCGCCCAAGCCGCCGGAAAACCACGCTGCATGACCGGCGCGCCATAATCACTCCGAGACCAATTTTCCCGCCACGCGAAACCAGATCCGGTTTCCGCTTCACAGCCTCGGCTGTGCTAGATCAAACCACGTGCTCTGTGTTCACACTTGGGAAGTGCAGAGAAAACGAAAACGCCAGAGTGGCCGGAAAATAACGACCACGCGCGTCGATGTTGTTCACATTTGTTCCGCCCCATCCCGCCACCGCTGCCTCGCTACCTTGACAATCTTTTCGATTTTGCCTGCTTTCCGAGAGTTAAAGTTCGGATTATAGTTAATGGCACAAAGTAGTGGAAACAAACAGCTCACACCTTTCCAAATGTTGTTTCGGGAGTTGCGCCAGCAGAAACGACACGATCAAGCGCACCGATAGCGGCGGCGTGGTTTCAACCAGCTGTACACAAAAGCGAGACATGTTGGGGCATGCTGACTCACTGCCGCTGCACTGTCTATTTCCAGAGTTCTCGGCGATTGTAATCCAAGTCAAGCTCTCGATGAACGCGTCCTCGTTTATGCCATCAAGCTTCGTCATGCTGCACGGGTAGTTTGCGATTTGAGCCGATGCGAGGCACCGCCGACGCCTGTGCCGCTATTTTGAACCTCCGGCCGGCTGGTTAGGTCACTTGGTTTGATCTAGCGCAGCCAAGGTTGTGAAGCGGAAACCGGATCCGGTTTAGCGTGTCGGGAAAATTGGTCTCGAAGCAATTTTGGTGCGCCGGTCGCATGGCGTGGTTAGCGGCGAAACGAGTTAGTTGCCGGATAGTTTCGCTGATTTCACTCTTTTCGAGGCCAAGTGTGAACGCGCCTTTAAAGTGCCTCGAGCATGCTGCGGAGGCGAACGAGCGCATCAAGTCACGTCACACGTGAGACATGAGTGCTATCTGGCAGTTATCTAGCAAAACGAAGCGCGCGCGCCCTGCGTGCCCGTCTCGGAGGTGATAATGTGTAGAACGCAAGGCGACGGGCAGGTGCCACCACCGTGTCGCCTTAGCAAAGCGTTGGGAACACTTGCCTTTTCGGGCAAGCGTTGCATGGTCAGCGCAGCGTGATAAACGGTAGGGTCCTTAGAATTATTTATGTATGCCTTTTCTAGTAAAATACACTAGAGAATATGGACGTGGTGTCATGGTGCCTGAGATATGCGCAATAATTGCTCTTTAATTGACAATCGCACAAGTATGAGCGCTGAATCTTGAGCAATATTGGTGGGTGCTGTGGATGCGCTCGGTCGTTTGGGGTATCGTCTAGTGCTGTTTAGGGTACCGTTAAGGGTGGACAAACAAACAGACACAGACCCAAAATTTTTGCGTCGAAGGTCCCGAAGAAAGACTATCGTATTTAAAAAAAATGTGGCGAAGGGGCATGTAGAAAAGGGTGTATCAGCTTCACTTACTCCACACGCCTCGTGTGTCTGGACGTGGCGGTTGTCGACAAGATTTTTTTTTTTTTTGCGGGGGCCAGTTCGGTGCTCACTGAGTTCTGTCGAGTGAAACGCCCAGAAGATGTGGGCTGCTGTGCTCAAAACATTGTACAAATGGTTGCATTTTCGCGAGATACTCATAAAAGAAAAATATTTTGCTTGAAGATTAAGTGGGTGAAGTGGCAGCTTAATCTAACAAAAAACACAAAAAGTCGTATCTATGCAGTGTCAATGTAAACATGATGTTTTGCAGGGGCTTTGTGGTAGTGGTGACTGAAACATATTTCTTATACTTTAGGTTGAAGATAATGTTAATAGAGCAAAAAGCGCTCTTTCATGAAGAAATTTATTGGTTAGGCTAACAAGTGGTTTCAAAGCAGCGTAGTGTGAAATGCCCGGCTGATGTGTGGTGCCACTGAGGGGTTCCAGTCAGCCCAGGAAGGGTCGCGACATTTTCGGAGAGACTCCTAACAAGTTTTATGCGTACCAAGGATCGATTGGGTGCGACGAGCTGCAGCTACAAAAAAAAAAAAACAACTTTATCTGTGTACATTGCGCTGCTGTTAGCAACACAAAGACACTCTTGAAAGGTAGCTCATTTCAACATATGATGCTGCACGTACGTGAACCTCCGTGAAGTCTCGGCGAAGCCACCTAAAAGGCTTGCATGAAAGACAAATCAATGTGAGCTATACATTGAAATTCGAAAGCGTGTCTTGATGTAGTTGCTTCGCTTGTTGCATGGAGACCAGTGTCTCGCGCGTGATCTTGCCCGCTGCTTCTTAAGCACAGTCCAGGCAACTTAATTCATTCTCAGTTGTTGCCCATTTATTTGTAAATTTTGTGTCTGTGTCGTTTTCATTCTCTTGTCAAGTTGAGTGACAAAGTGATATAGTCATTCGCTTTGTTCAAGCGTAATAAATTGTAATTTCGTTAGTTTATGGTCTTATGGTCCTGGAGGTGTGCAAAACGCGTGTAAAAAAATAACGTATCCGTAATAAGAGTATGCGTTTTTTGGCAACCAACATGTAACAATAACAAATTTATTGACCATTTATTAACGAGTTATAGTTACTGTCGACATGTTTTCAAGGAACGTTATTGTCATTTCCCCATGAGGAGTGTTTTGAAGCAGCACAGCTTTGCCGCGCTTAACTTCTGAAAGTGTGACACGGCAAGTAACATACGGTCATTCGTTTACTTGTAGCTCTGCATTAAGGCCTGAGCAAACGTGTTATTTTTCGCTTGCAGAGCAAGATTAGCTAATGTCAAGTGGCTCAGCTTCCAAAAGTTGGCTGTCACACCAACTAGTGACTGCAACGTATTTAAATGCAGTGAATTTGGTAGTGCTGTTAAGATGTAAACCATAGAAAATATTGTATACCTAAATGTGATTACGCGTAATTGATTTTCGCGCTATTAGTCTCCGCGAAGCCCCCCCGTACTGCCTGCAAACTGCTCGTACGATGTCCGGTAACGCGTCCGTATATCATGTGTGGAAGTGGCGAACACTATAGCGAAGTTTCGCTCGGTTGATGAAGAAATTGGTCGTGGCTTAACTCAATTATACCATAGGTGCACTTAGCGAGAGGCATGGTTAATCCTTCTGTTTATCTTCATTATCTGCACGGTTACGCTTCTCGAGACGATCGGCTTGTTCTTCCTCCGTCACCTGGGCTAGGTGTCTCCTCTAGCTTTCGTTACAACAGCGAAGCCTGGATTCTTTGCAGTCTCTCGGACTCGCTTTCCGTATCAACCGACGAATACGACTTCGAATTTTGCCAAACTGGCCGTCTCACATTGTACGATGCGATGACGGCTCCTCCTGGTTGCTATGCAACGGCTTGGCTCGTGATACGGCCACGAGTCACAGCGAAAAGGCGAGAATACGGGCATTATAGCTCTCGCTACAAAAAAAAACAACAACAACTTATGTGTGTTTTCATCGAGATGCCGTAACAGTACTATGCTCACCATGTGAGAAGTGGCGGGTGATGAGCATACATCGTTAGATTAACACCGGGGCACATTAACTACAGATGCATGCGTGTATACGACACCAGTACGAAAGTATATAGGGAATAGTGCGAGGGGCTCCTTTTGCATATCACGCACAACTAATGAAACCGACACACAATTAAGCCAAACAACACATATATGGGTCAATAAAGTGTCCCCTATGCTTTGCCTTGTCTGCCTCTCGGTTTTAATAATTGCGTGCGACAATAGCACGCTCGAGATGACACCTGATATGCAAGCGCCCTCAAAGAAAAATAAAGAAAGCGCTCAAGGTCATGACGCATGCTGACGTAGCTAGGTGGCCCTTTGCGAGCATTATAATCACAAGATCAAGGACAAAAATACAGTCGGAACGTGTTTGCTTTTCGTATACTGTTTGTCTTTTGTAAGAACAGCATGTAGATAGTTATGCAGACAGTTACTTAGATAAAGAGGTCACAATAATTAACATTTCATGCCGCAAACGCTTTATGCAAAGACAGCTATAGCTCTGATCGCTGTCAGACCTTCTCTTTTCCTAACGCATATGTGGCAGAGATGTGAACATTAACCCATCCCCCTGCGTTCCCTCCTTAGCGTGCTCCACGATGCTGGTACGATACGTGGTGATCCGCAACCTGAACCGCTGTTGCCGGTGGAGCGTCGACGTCCTGAACGTGGCCGCAGTCATGGCGGGACTCCTCGCCGTCTTCGGGAACCTCATCGTCTCCGCTTATCCCGTAAGCATCTTGGACATAGCGTCCAGACAGGGGATGGAAGGAAAGGAAGGTCATGGTCGCGACCAAGGAGGTTTAAGAAACTTCGGGGTCGCGAAGTGTTCTATATACCAGAGGCGTGGTGGTAATACAAATTTCCATATAACACTGAAAAAAAAAAAACGCGTCCGTAACCATGAATCCACGTGACGTAGCGAATGTGCCAAGGACGGGATTACGGAGCCACATGACCGCGCAGCTATTTCCCTTTCTTTGAATATATGCCACCTTATTTGCTTCAGACTTATATTCACCTTGTTTTGTGAATAATTATTTATTGGGCAAAATATTCAGGTTCAGTACAATTAGCCATGCCACCGCCTCGTAGCTAGAAGTCTTGAACGGAAGCCGCAGTATCTGAGACGCAATGATAATTGATGTCTCTAATGTCTGTGATACAAGGATAACTACACAAACAAAGAAACTTACCATCGTGATACCACAGCTATGGAATTCTTGGTAGCAATAAGATCTAATAGAAAGGTATTCAACATATAGAAAAAAAAGGGGGGATTATTTAAGTCTGCCTTCAAGAATTGAACGCGATAGTGATATCCTGTCCCTAGTGCGTATTTACACCACTTAATCTATACTTTTTATTCTATGATACTAGTATAGGATTTTAAATTGTGCGTTGCTACAAAGTAATCGGTAAATATGGTAGGGGCTTGTGTCAGTCAAGCTCTTCTATAACTCTGTATTCAATGTAATGGGTAGCATGCTTTAAACCACGAGCGATTGTGCACGTGAAATATTTTCGAAATTCCTATGCATCCACTATGTGCAGTAACGGGTGCACCTTTTGTAATGCTTGGCCGGCTTTGAACCACAAAGTCGCTATGATAATCACATGTTCTGACAGCCAATGTTCCGACACCCACGCTTGTACCAAGCAATACTACTGCAACATTACATGTTTGATTGTGGAGTCTGTACGCAGAAAAACTGTGAGAAAGTGCGCGGTTGACGGAGCACAAGGCTGGTGTACTACTTCTGCTTGGGTTTCGTCAACCCTGCACTTTCTCACTGCTTTAATGTCATTGTTAACCACTGTCTCTAAACACACCAACAAGCCCCCCCCCCCCCCCCCCAACGCACTCGGTTACCTGTATACATAGCACACGCGTGTGTTTGTAAATTATGAAAGTTATTTTGACCCCATTTCCAACCAGAGGAAGTTATTTTCGCTATATTTACAAGTCTACGCGTGGCTGTGTCCTAGAACACCTGTTTTCCACGCAAATGGCCCTTGTTCGATCACCACACGGACCTAGATTTTTTTATTATTCATTTTATTCGCATCTGTCTCAGTTTGCCAATCACGGGGAAGATTATTATTTTGCTCTCTCAACCAAGGACGCCGACATTGGAGTTTCTGCAGAGTGAGCTCTTTAACGCTGTCGTTTCAAAACATATCTCGTGGGATCAATTTATTTTGCAAATATATACGGAACGACGGAAAGATGACAAGACGCTAAGCAATATGGTTCATGACGTACGCCCCATGAAAACAAGAAAAAAGCATGTGTTAAGACATAGTGAATGCACAAATAATTAACAAGAACAAGGATATAGTAAGAGACAATCAGCGCAGATCACTAGGTCGCGCAAGGTTGGGCTACAGCAAAGTGTGTACCTACCTGGAACTGGCTTGGCGAGGCGTTTACCGTCTCACCTGTCTGATCCATCACTACACTATACTATGTTATACAGTCTATACCATAGTTTCCATGGCTACGCTTGCTCGCGTTTTTATTGTTTTTAGCCTCTGTATTTATACATTTTCCTGTCTATGTCTATTTGTGTCTCTGCCTTCTTGTCTTTTCTTCTATTTCTTTATCTTTTTCGTTCTTTTTTCCTATCTTTTTCTGTCTTTCCCTGTAGTGGTTCTCTCGCCTTTTATCTTTTTCACTCCTCGACGTAACAGTTTTGCGGCGAAACTCCCATAACGCGCATGCATAGCACAGCAACTGGTCAAATACCATTCACCACACTGCTACACCAAAAATTAACAAGAGAACGCGTGGGCGGCCATCAAACACCTATTGAGGGCAGCATTTTGCAGCTTTTCATGTTAACACATCTGTTGCTTTGGCTGTAACTGAGCGCGGGCCAGTTAATAATGATGATGATATTCTATTTACGACACACGGCAAACTTCCACCACAGAAGCTCTGCTATAAAATGAACGCGTGGACCTTTTTCTCTTTAGCAAAAACTGTTCATATGAGTGAATAATCCACGCTTCTTTTCTCGCTGATCGAAGAGTTGGTGAACCAGAATCAAGCGCGTGCTTTCATAGAGCCCTATGCGCCCTAGTGGGCCTCTTTCGTGTGACGCTCTCTCTTCGTTTCTATATATCTTGCGCAGGTGTTGACGAGCCGGACGATCCACAACGCTGGCGCGTACACCATGTTTCTCGCGGCGGTCTTGTACATGGCGCTCGAAACCGGGCTCACGTGCTGCCTCTGCCCCGAGTACAATGCTAAGAGCATGGTGTGGCTGAGGTTCTCCCTCACAACGGCATCCGTTTTCGCCGTTATATTCAGTATCCTTTTATGTGCCGGCAATGAAGCCGAGAATTGTGATAATGTTTGGTACCTCATTGTTGCTTCTTCAATCGACAGCTGCGCATGTTTGATACTTCAGGATTGAGATGCTCTTATTTACTTAATTTACTTAATTTGTAGGCCACGCTTCATTTGTAAGTGCAGTGCCAGGATTTTGTTTGATGACGCCATTTATGACAAGTGCGGAAGGGGGGGGGGGGGGGGGGGGGTGAGGGACCTTTGCGATGTATTTTGACCGTTTGCTCTCTTCGGGTAGGGGGTCAATGGGGCAGGGGGAAATTTAGGCGCTGGATTGCGAGGCCTGCCCTCCTGTGTGTGTGTGTGTGTGTGTGTGTGTGTGTGTGTGTGTGTGTGTGTGTGTGTGCGTGTGTGTGTGTGTGTGTGCGTGCGTGCGTGCGTGTGTGTGTGTGTGTGTGTGTGCGTGTGCGTTTGCGTGTACGTGTGCGTGCGTGTGTGTGTGTGTGTGTGTGTGTGTGTGCGTGCGTGCGTGTGTGTGTGTGCGTGTGCGTGTGTGTGTTTGTGTGTGTGTGTGTGTCTTATGAAAGGGCTTCATAGAAGAGAGATTTGTGTGTTTTGAACTATATTAATGTTTTTTGTTGAACATTTACTTACCTTTAATGGGCACATTGACCGATTTTCCTGATTTTCTCTGGATTATACTGCATGCGTTTTTAATATTTTATTTACGTTTTTGTAGACTTGGTGTTACGTTTGTACGTCGAATAGTCGTAAGTGTTTATGGCGAAATCGCCAGTCGAAACATTTTTACTACGCTTTGGTATAACCAGCTGTAGTGCAGCCTGCCTTATGTCATGTGTTCAGATATTGAAGTGTGCAAAGGAGTGACAGAGTTTGATGATATTGCCACAGTAGAATGTAACATCCTTAACAGAATTTGTTCACTTACTCTAGCCGCGTGCTACCAATACATCGGGGAAAACCTATGGGTCGAAGGGCTTAATGACAAGCCGAAACACTTGAGGGAGCCTGGAGACCCGGTACGTTGCATCTTAATCGTTGCATCGTCATCATCATAACCACATTTATCATCATTATCACCGGCCTGACTATGACAATGCGTACTAAGGCATCTCCCGTGTTTCACATGTTGACCCGGTCTTGTGCTTGCTTCACCCACGTTTCACCTAATGAACGTCTGCCCTCTTCACATATTCTATGCCATTCTATGCCATTGTCCAGCATACCATTCTGAACGACGTATTATGGAAGCCAAGCTCCGTCAGCTGGATTCACGGCCGCTTACAGATGAGAAGATCCTGTGACCTTGGCCGACGGTCTCCAATACACGCAAAGTTATGAAAGTCTTCTTGCATTTCTTGAGGACCACCAGACGTCATGACCGCTTGTGAAAGAACAGTGTGACACCATGCTGTGTCGTCTCGAGCTGACTACTCTTACTCCTCTTCTTTTCTACCTCTTTCCTTTCTATTATTCTTTCTTTCTCCAACCCCAAGTGTAGGGTAGCCAACCAAGCCAAGCTTGGTTAACCTCCCTGTCTTTCCTCTCTATTTATCTCTCACTCTCTCTCTCTGCCCTCTTAGAACTTCCCGTTCCGTTTGTCCTCAGAGCGGTTAGTGATATTGAAATACCACTACATTGATACATTTACATTGAAATAAGTGCTGCTATCTGACTTTGTTGTGATGCTGAGGTCAGTAACATCATTGGCTTCTGTTTTCCTTCGCGGGCGCTTCCCGGTCTCGGAGGCTGTGCTTGGACACTGCGATAGAAACTGCACTTCTTGACATACCTGAGCACGTGGCTCCAGCTTTGGCGACGACACCCCTCATTCGGTCTTGTTAAAGAAGCGATGGACATTGGTTTGCTGAGAACTGGTAACTTTTTTTTCTCCGTACATACATATCAAGTATTCTGGCGGAGAGCTTCAAGCAGTTTAGACGTGTTTTGTTTACAAAGTGCCGTAGGTCGGCAAACTCACTCGTGAGACTCAGAATCAGATCGGGCCGTGAGTCCTGACTCCGAGAGAGTCCAGTTGAGAAAATTTATTAATGAGTCAGTGTCTTATCTAACCACAAGCGCAAAATATATTTCTTGAGTGAATCCGAGCGAGCACCGGCTTTCGTTGCCGACTTTGATTCCATGTACTCACCTGCAGCATCACGATAAGCCCTACATTGGTTTACATTTGCGCTAAAGCTTCTTCACACTTCTATCAGAACACTAGCATTTGTGCGCCGTGCCAATATCTGTTAAGCGGCGTGGGTTAAGGAGGGTGGTGAACACCCCGCGCAAACACCTTCACGGATAGTTCTTGACAAAAATACCTCGTGTGAGTCGGGTATTTTATATAACAAAATTCCTTACTGAATTGAAATCACAGATAGCTCGTATTTGAAAGAATAATATGAAATGGCGTATCGTAGAGCACTGTGAGACGTCGGCGTTAAAAGTGATTGACATCATAACCGAAAAAGCTCATTTTACGCCGATAAGCTCTCAGTAGTCGACTCATCCAGGCTCATTCACTCAAATGAAGCCATGAGTAGGAGTCTGTGTGAGACTTCTTGAGAAAAATATTAATGCGTCTGAGTACGAATAAGGCCCATAGAAAAAAATTTCGGCAAGTCGGAGTCATCAGAACAAAATATATTCTTTGAGTGAGTGTGAATGAGCACCAACTTTTTTGCCGACCAATGCAGAGTATTGAGTACCCCGTGGTAACCATGCTCCGCGCACAGGAATTCCCGCAACCCGCCGAAGCAGCGGGAATTCGAGAGTATGGGCCTCATGGTTCATAAACGTTTGACGCTGGCTGTACATAAATGGCCACAGCCAAATAGGCCTAGAATATTCTTTCAGCAAAATTTGTTCTCCCCCACGAACAAATGCCAGCTCTGAAATATCCTTTAGCAAAAGTAGACCCCCCTTCTCTTCGAGCAAATGCTTAGGCACTATGGCATACGTTATTGAGACGACAAAAGCCTACAGTCGGACACAACTTCAAATGTCCGCAGCAATTCCTCCACGAAAGCAGATGCACTCACGCCGGCACCAACGGGCGCGCTTCAGACTGACGTCATGAACCCTGCAGGTGGATGGTTACCGTGCCTTCGGAGAGCTCTCGGGTTGAGCGGTACTCTAATACCAAAAACGATCGGCTGCCATCCTTTGGTCATATGGGCGGGGCTTTCCAGACTTCTCAAAGGGCCAGTCAACAGGCTGGGACGTTTTTTTCACACCCCCCAAAAGAAGCTCGGCAATTCGTAGAGAAGACCACGGTGATCACGTTTTCCGAATATTACAGCATTGCGCCCGCGCAGAGCCTTCGAAAACAGTTCCCGTGCTCCTTTCCTGTATATTTCTGACCAATACTCCTTTTAATGGCAGTGACGCAAAGTCGCCGATCAATGACTTGACGGAGCACGATGCTCGTTGATTGGTCTATAGACCAGTCTTCACGATGGGCTACGCTTTCCCCTCCCTGTGAGGGAGAAACCAGCGGTAACCGATGTTCTAACCCCCGAAACTTCATTAATAGAGCACGTATTGCGAAATTCTTGCTGGAGCGTGTTTATTTTTTTATTTTATTTTTATTTATTTATTATTTATTACGACTGCTAAGGGTAAGTGTTCGAGATAAGCGTGTCATGTCGGGACAAATTTAGTCTCTTAAGATAATGTCCCTGAAAATAATCTAGGCATCTGAGTCGAAGTTACATCGATGGGGTCTGAGCATTCGAAACAAAGGTACGTTCATACTTAGCCACGAATTGTCCCGCCTCAATCCGCGAGTACTGAGTACCGTTGCTTACTTAAAAAGTTCCGAACTTGCTATTTTTACATCAACTGTAGTGTCCGCTCTTGTTGTCTCTGCAGGGTTTCCGAGAGCTGCTCATCAGCTCCGTGGGAGAGTGGTTTCTGGTGTCTCTGTTCCTCGCCTTCTTCCTCACGTTCGCGCACGAGTTCCGGCGTGTGATCGTCACCGTGGACGTGTTTCCTCTGGTCTACCACATGGACGAACACATCGAGGTGACCCGGCTGCGTCCTCACGACTCTTACTCGCTCTTTTCCTCGGCCTCCCTCTGACGTTGTCCTCTGAGCGTACACTCGAAGACTGTGACTACGCTTTTCTTTTTGAATCGAACTGCGTGCCATAACGCCCTTCGAAGCTGCGGAGAAGACGGAAGTTTGAACATGTGGAACTTACTCGAACACGGGTGTTGGTCGATGCCAAAGTTTCGGCAAATGGGCTTGTCTTTGTCAAGAAGTGACAGCGTGTCACTTACTCTGAAAATACTTACGTTGTCAAACAGCTCTATGTTAGTCGATCTCCACGTAGGTAGTTGTGCATGTGTGTGTGCACACACGTTGCTTGTAAAACTGTTGCTCAGTTAGTTGACTTTTTGTAACTACTACAAATGCTGATGACCATTCACATGGAATTACTGTAAATTCAAAATGTCTAGGTCTAGCCTTTTTATGATGTCTTCATTTACTTTCGTACTTTGAAGAGACCACGTGAAGGATTCAGTGCTTTGTTGTCGTTTGTACGTTACGTCAGAACCACTTGTCTTCTTGAAGGTACCACTTTCAGCCTCGAAGGCGACAAGACAACTTGTCCATGCGTAGGCTCCAGCTGTTTACCTTCTGTTCGAGAATTTTTGATGCCGTGTGAGTCGTTCTGCAGTGATTCCACAAGCCCTTCTTCTCTCTTTTTTTTAGGGGTCGAGCAAAGAAAGATTTTGAGCAATCTGACGGTGACAACGTCTTGACGACGTGAATCTCGCCCCATTCTAGCCACCTGTTGCGTGCTACGTCAGCTTCTGTCTCATGCGTATCACGCATGTTCAGTTTTCGTTTCCCTCGACGGGCGGCCAAGTTGCCCCTTTTAATAAAACAAAACACCTTTGGAACTCGCTGTCCGTCAGTCACGACAGGCGCCGCCATTCAGAATCTGAGCTACGTGAAGACGGATCACATTCTGCAGGCGCGAATGGTCGTCCCGTGTCTCTACGTCGTACGTACACGGTTTGGCAGAGTTATAAGTATGTGAAAACTGTTTTCCCGTCACAATACAGTGCAAGTGTTGATGTGACGGGCATCCTCAATTCTTACTAAGTTACAATACTTTTATCTTTTTATTGAGACGAAGGTTGCCCCGACATTTGCAAGCCATTATTGTCGCTTCTTTCACGATGACTCTAAACAGCGACATTGACGATGCCTACGATATGTACTGAGACGAAAATAAACCATTTTGCCACCTTTTTCGGCCGCTCTGCTCTTTCTGTGCCAATGGGTAGGCTTGCGAGGCTTGGAAAACTCGCTAGATGCAAAAACAGCTTTCAGCAGTCATTATTAAGCGACCGAGCCATTTCCCAAGTGACGTAGACAAAGAGTGCTAGCACGTCACTCGAGACGGCACATTTCCCGCTTGCGTCACGTGGGAAATGACGTAGTGAGTGCGTACAGACTGGATCACGCTTGTTTAGAGCGGAGAAGTGCGTGGCAGTCGACGCTGTTCTTGACCGCATGCAGATGCTACCTCACGTCAGCTACAAGCTTCCGTTGAAGCTTGAATTATAGCGCCAAGAGAGTAGGACTGTGTTCGTTGTCGTGGCGTTGGTCTTCGCTTATTTCTGTAGAAAAGCGCAGCTGAAGCAGCTGGCTGGGTGCTTTAGACAATTCAATTCCGTCTGTACGTAGCATTTCACCCTTCCCTCTCTCTCAACTAGCTGACTACTGACTGACTTTAGGTGCCACTTCTGTTCACGCTGCCGACGCCGAACGTTTTGATTCATTATATTGACGTACAAGTGTGACTAAGAGTAATAAGCCCTAATGAAAACTTGAAGAACGTGAAAACCAAGCTATATATGCTCATAGCCTTTCGCAAGGCTGAGTTACATGTACGTCATGAAGCGGAAAAAGTCATATAGTGGATTGCCGCCACAGGGGATTATGGAGAATCCCAGGCGTGAGCGGCTTTGTAGATACGGGCTGTGATTGCTGGGGGCCTGTGTCTTTATTTTTATAGATTCTTTTTTTTATTCGAGGTAGTGAGATGACAAAGAACCATAACATTTTACTGCGCATAATAGATGGATTAGTAGTCCCTACTTTGTTGCTGCTTGTCAGCGATTAGTTGGTGAGGAGCGAGAAGACTACCTCGACTGCTTTATGTATTTCTTGGTGTTATTTTGCAAAAAAAAAAAATGCCTTCGTACGTTCCTTTCCGAAGAAAATTAGAGAGCAGCTATTACATAGATACGTTAATGTTACCCCATTATGCAATTTTCGAGCGGCTGGGTGTTTGAAGACTTAAGGAGGAGGAGGAGGAGGAGGAAAGATTAGGCGGAAGGACAGGGAGGTCAGCCAGTTCTTGAAGACTTAATATCTGGCTAAGTGACTGCCTGATTTACGAGTGAGTGAGTGAGTTAGTACTGTTTAGGATCTCCGGATCTCCTTTAGCCTTAAGCGAACACCTTGGTCGGCTCGACGGACAACCGCGGAAGCGCGGTACCGAATCCAGGCCGTGGCGGCCGCATTTTTGATGGAGACGGAAATACTTGAGGTCCGTGTACTTCAATTTGGGTACGCGCTAAAGAACAAGGGGGACTGAATTTGCGGAGCCCTTCACTACGGTGTATATCAGAGTGGCTGATTCAGAGGAGGGAGAGGGTAGAAGCGCTTACACACCCCGTTTAAGAGCCTATGACAGCGCCTCCTTGCCTTCAGTGCCTATCGTCCACGTCTACCACTGATTAGGACAAATTAGTGGGATGAATATCCACTATTTATGCTGTGATGGTGTCCTTGTGGGGATAGGTATTACAGCAAATGGTCAGAGCCCCCTCTCCACCAGCTTTAATTCAAGCGACCGGCCCCTTTAAATAAGTGTGTCAGATCCGCCCCTATAGTTCCTCATAATCACGTCATGGCTTTGGGACGTTCAAACCCAACAATGAATAATAAGGCGGACAGACAATAAGGTAAGTTGTTTCTTCATTACGTATATTTCCAAAATAATGTTTTGCGGAACTCCTGAGATGAATCACAAATGTGATAACCTAGGCAAGCCTATATCCTGAATGTATTGTAATAATTGGGGGGGGGGGGGGGGGGGGGGGGTTGGGTTACGGGCTGTTGTGACTGGCGCCAGAGCTAACAAGGGAGCGGCGCTCTTCGGATCCTCAAACAAGTAGCCGACCGGCCGGCTGCCTATGACCGCCAGGCATTGTCCTTCCTAGCTGGAAGGTGAGACGTCGTGTCACAACGACGCCGTAAACCGTTCGAGAGAGGACAGCAAAAACAGCATTTTCCTTGTAAGAGACCGCGGCGGCCACCACAAGTCACTCCGCTAATTAAGCGAGCAGATAGGTGGACCCTTTGATGTATGCTGTCATGTGCTTGGGACCCCTCCACCAGCGGCACACACACGACGAGGAGGAGCCCCTCTGGCGCCACCTTGGATTGCATTGATCACGGCTCAATATTGGACGTTCACGTGAGCCGTGCATGCTCGTCCCCCTCGCCAGTTGCGTGTGATATGTGATTGGACAATACCATCTGAACGTGTTCCCTGATCTAGGGATCTGGGGAGAACATACCCTTTCCACCCGGCTCATTTGAGGGAGCGCCTTGTAGAGGCCAGATTCGAGAGCTCGCCATGTAAGAAAGAGCTCGTCATGTACGAGAGCTCACTTTGTATATAATGTAAATAAACCCTCATCAAGTCTCTCTTCCTCCTGCCTCGACAACTTCTTCCCAGACCTCCGGTGCCTGCAAACCCCGGTCGCAACAGTGCCCAAACCACCGTAGTTAGGGAGCTCCGAATCAGTTTCGACAACGTGGGTTTGTTTAACGTATACCTTTATTTAGGTACATGAACGCCGAGCACTTCACCTTCATTGAAATGGGACCGCCATGACCGAAATCGCTGACGGTATTGTTACGAGCGATAACAAAGGTTAACCGATATCGACGTTTGTTGCGCCGCTTTTTATTGCATGACTCATGTTCCCGGTCACGTTCATGCTTATCTTATTTTTCTTAGTGCCGTACATGTAGCCGAGATTATCAAGGGCACACAATAGCATTGTCTCCCGGGTACTAAAGTCGCGGTCCTATAGAAAAGGTATTGGCCGATAGCAGGCAGTTACACGCAACAGAGTGAAGTCCGCCATCCTCAACAAGAATATAACCAACTCTGTTGACGAGTTGTCGTTAGCTCATACGCAGGGGTCTGAAAACAAGTTTCAACGTTTGAACCACGTCAGCACTCAATTTAGGCTCTTTGCGAACTTTTAGCCCATAGCTCAAAAGTCGACCCTTGCCCCCTTCCCACCTCCGGCATTCGCAACATCTATACGCACACAGGTGGATTGTATGCATATGTGGCAGCATGGGACGGGGGTATGCTTTGTGCGTACTTATTGCTCATAGCCAAACAAGGAGGCCGGCGGGGGAGTGAATGGTAGAAATATATAGTCCAGTAGTCAGTGGTACTACCGTACAAGTATTGCCTGCCTAGTCTACTCGGCAGATGGCCGCCCCGGTAGCTCAGTTGGTAGAGCATCGGATGCGTTATTCGAAGGTCCCAGGTTTGGTCTCTGCCCACGGCATGTTATCTTTTATCCACTTTTCTTTATTTTCACTTATTTTACAATTACTCCAAATAACGTCCCTTATATATCCCCTCACGTCACTGTCTGTTAGTTTACATCCCTGCCTTTCCTTTCTTTACAAGGACTGAGGGCTATCCTTTCGGTCCTCCCTCCTTCCTCCCTTCTCCTCCTCTTCTTCCTGTTTCTTCATTTCTTGTTTTGTCCTCAATAATATTGTGTCTAACAAAGAAATGAGTCCTTAGACTTATTTCCGTAATGGTCAGGCAGACAAGTGTGCAGTGTGCAAAAAATAATAACTATTAAAAAATCATTCAGGTTCTTCAGAAAGTAAGTCTCAGCAGATCCCACGGGCTCTGTTGGAGTAACGAGACTGTGAAGCTCCCGCTTTTCATCTTCGTTCATCACTCCGTTCGTCACCCATGCACACGTGGTCACGCGTATTCCTGGGCGTACTGAAGGGTAACTCGAAGCACAGCGGACACTGCATACGGTAAATCAGTGCTATGAAAACCCGCAAGGTGGCGAAAGGTTCCACACAGAGCTAAGGTTACTGTATATGCTACCTTTAGGTATCAGAGTTGCGCCAAGGTATGCCATCTTGGGCTCTGTCGCTATGCTGGAAAGCCACTCCCCGTCCGCGTTGGAGCCGCGCTTGTGGGATGTTGCGAGTATAATTATAGACGATAGTCTTTGTTGGGGACCTTCGACGCCAAAATATTGGCCTGTCTGTCTGTACACTTGTCTGTTTGTCCGCGGTAACGATCCCTCTAAAGGCACCAAACGATACCTTAAACGGCCAACCCCATCCGCAGCACTCACCAATATTGCTCAAGCTTCAGCGTTCATACTTGAGCGATCGTCAGTTAAAAAGCAATTACTGCGCATATCTGAGGCATCATAACAACGCGTGGATGTTTTGTATGTGTGCCTTTACACTTGAGAAAGCGCACACAAGTAATTTTAAGGACCGTAGCGTTTATCACGCTGCGCTGACAGTGCTACGCGATGCTCAAAAAGGCAAGTGTTTCCAACGCTTTACAAAGGTGACACGGTGGTGGCACCTGCGCGTCGCTTTGCGCTCTACTCCTTATCGCCTCCGAGACAGGCGCGCATCTTTCTCCGCAGGCGCTCACGCCTTCCTTCGTTTTCGAAGATAACTGTCAGGCGGCGCTCGTGTCTAACGTGCCTAGATGCGCTCGTTCGCCTTCGCTGCACGGATTGAGACTCTCTAACGCAGCGCTTCCACAATACAATTCACTGATTTTCTCACGCAGAACATCAAATAAACGTTTTGTTCCATCTCTCCACAAGCAAGACTATCGTCTTTCGACGACATTTGCAGTGAAACATGCAGATTCGGGGCCATTTTTTTGCTTTCTTTCTAGATGTCCTTTATAATGTTGGTGAAAATGAATATTCAATACTGAAAATGTTTCATTACCACTTCTAATCAATTCTTGGTCGATCCCCCTGAGCAGGTATGAGTCATATTTGAGGCATCATCATCATTATCCTTGTGAACATGGTTGCGCCAAAACCCGAATGACCAACTAACCAACTATGGTTCTACACAAAATGGATGGTTTATGGCGTGGTGGATACACTGCAAGTGTCCTAGTAGCAGTTACCCAAAGAGTGTTTAAAAAGGCCGCTCTTCCAGCTTTCACTGTGACTGTGCTGCGTGTTCGTTTTTTTTGACCACATAACAATGCTCTTATCCTCAATGACCAGCGGTTACCCTGTCTACACGCTACATGCCCAGCTAATGCCCACTTCCTCCCCTTGAGTTCAACTATAATATCCTTAACCCGGGTTTGTTTCCTGACCCACTCTGCTCTCTTCTTGTCTCTTAAAGTTACACCTATCATTTTCCTTTCCATCGCTCGCTGCGTCGTCCTCAATTTAAACTGAACCTTTTCGTAAACCTCCAGGTTTTGGCTGGAGACTTACAAAGAGGGTTCAGCTTAAATTGACGACGACGTCTAAAATAATAATAGCCTTTACGTCCTAAAACCACGATATGATTATGAAAGAAGCTATAGTAGAGGGCTTCGGAAATGTCGACAATCTGGTGTTCTTAAACATCCACTGACATTACAGCACACCGACCTTGCCATTTCGCCTCCATCAAAATGCGACCGCCATGGCCGGAATTGAAGCCACGACCTTCCGGACAGCAGCCGAGAACTTTTCTACTGATCCACTGAGGTGGACTCAGTCTTAACATTATATCAAATTACGAATCAGGGGCGTCGACAAGGAGGGGAGGGGGAGAGCTTGGCGTTCAGCCCACCCCCCCCTGCAAAATTTTTCAATTTTGCTTGCATGTAGCTATACGCAGACACATAAGCGCACGCGCGAACACGCATAAGTGTATTTTAACACAATAAAAAAAAAGAAAAAAGTGCCGCCATATCCACGAAGTGAATGATGATGAGTGGGCGAAGCTCCGGAGGTAAACCTGGTAAACCATGAATCCTCTGTACATTTTGCCCACTCGATTTTATTACATCGCTCCCCCTAGCGTACGTCGCCGCACTAAATCGAACGATTGCCTTCAACCAATGACACGCGCCATATGTGACATCATTCCTATTTTATAAGATCTCGCGTCTTTCATCAACTACAAGTACCGCTTTCTAGTTTATAACATCTTGCATCTTTTCATCATCAGCTACAAGTACCACCATCTAGTAAACACTACAAGAACTAAACGAGAGGTGGCTACGTACAGGAGACGGTACCGCCATCTAGTGAACACTGCAAGAACTAAACTAGAGGTGGCTACATACAGGGGACGGTACCGCCATCTAGTGAACACTGCAAGAACTAAACTAGAGGTGGCTACATACAGGGGACGCACAGCCCACGCCCTAAGGAGCTTCGCCCCTAAAAAATAGCTGGCTACGTGCCTGTTACGAGTAGTAAAATAATTGAAGTATTTCTTGCTGCTCGATAGCTTCGTTAGCCTTGCACAAGCTATATAAAACAGCGTGCAACATTTCGAGCTGCATATGAAGAGATGAGGTGATGAAATGATGCAGTACTACGTGGCTCTCAAGAACTGCCGGTGTTAAAGCGAGCATCGTTTTTCTTCTTTTTCTTCCCGCACATGATATCGCGAGTGGTCCCAGATTAACACCACTTCCGACGAAGCTTTAGCACGGCTGGCCGCCTATAGATGTTAAGAAACGTTATCTTCGGTTCTCGCGGCCTTCGCTTTGCGTCGCCTGCAAAAAGGCGATGTATTGCCGCCGTCGTGGCCGAGCACGTTATCGCCCCTATCGCTAGTCACAAGCGGCCGGCTCTTCACGGGTTGGAGGGAGCCGCAGATTTGTACCCATTCCGCATCCCACCCCATACGACGTCACGGCTCACAGCGGCGTTTCGACAGGCATCCAGAAAATCGGCGCAGACTTAGCGGGAACGAGAGAGCGGCCAGAGTCGCCGTGAAAGCGCGTGTACTTTTGTACCTGGGAGGGAGTCGAAGTTCCGTCGCGCAGTTTCGCGTTCGTTGTTTATTCAGGCGTCGTCTGACCGGCCCTGTAAACTGTTACTGGTCGCACTCTAGTGATCGTGTTGCAAGTTAGCTTGTTGCTCCTGGTACACGCATGGGGGCGGGAACTATGCACGCTGACGACGGATAGTCCATTCAAAAAGACTCGCTTGTGTCACCGCTGGGAAGGCTCTCCGTGACGTCCGCGTGTTTCGGCTGGCCGGTGCGGTAGTGAAGAGACCATGAGGCACGTCGGAGTCGGATGGATACCGCTGGTTTTCGGCGTGGTGCTCGCCGGCGGATCTCTGCTGACGTTCGTCTGGGCTGTCGCGCGCGGGGATGTCACACCTTACATGCCCTTTGTCAGGTGAGTTGAACGCGGGCGTTGTTGTAGAACGAGAATGTTTGCAAAAGTGATTGATTGATAAAGAGGCATGGTCGAGGAAAGCTTGCTAATAAATTGCCGAATGTTGTGACGCGCGAGGCGTGACGCCAGTGCTTCCGCTGTTTGCAGGTGCTTCTGCTGATTATAGGTGGGGGGGGGGAGTGCATTCGGTAAAAAAATTATTACGCAAGCAGTTGCTGTGAAGTTGCTAATAAGCTTAATAAAATGTACCGTTTATTATCAACCATCAAGTTGTTAAAAGTAAAGATGTCAGAAAATGTCGCGTGGGAGCACCTCTGTGGGCACACTTATCAAGCGTTCACCGAGCGAACATGCACTGCGGGAGGTGATTAGCAAGTGCTGAATGTATTCTATACCTACATTTCTGTGTGAAATTGTTTTATGAATGCGAACAACATACATCTTCTATTCTATCATAATGCGAAAATTATACACGTTATATGAAGACTGCGACACAGGCTTAATGCATGAGTAGGGCGCTTTTAGGGACGGAGCTCTAAGCTTTGCGTTGCGGCGTGTAGTGCGAACGGGCCTAACCATCACCATAAACTGGTACGCACTCACTTCTTCCTCTTCTACTTCCGTTTCGCTCCTACAACACGCATGTACTATAGCCGTCCATTTTTTAAAACCTGAACGCTCGAGCCCCGACCGCCGAGTCCAGAAGAGCATGTTCCGGGCACCCTACATAGTGTCCAGTTCCCGGAATTACCTAGCAGAAAACAACTGCGCCAGACTGTTCATTGCAGACAAGCACGTATACTCTCGTTCATTTTGCCGCTGTGCTCCGTTGAACGCCGCTTATCACCAGGGCTGTCGACGCTTGCGCTTCAGGTGAAAAAGTGGTTGGCTGTATGTACATTGATTTCTCCGGCCTGTAAGCAAAAACTAGAATGGACGAATCTGTTACGCGAGTGAAAACGGCGCAACAGCTAGTCGCGGCACTGAAACACGTAACATAGCGTAATAACTACAGTCACACGTCTCAAACAAACGAAACACCATGTAACAGATAATCAGGCGACTAAAACTAACCTAACATGCCATAACTGCTCTTGTGACTAGACTCGTGATCAATTAACTGCTCGCATCACTATAGGTCACGTAACGTCGCACAACATCTATAGGTGACTATAGCTGGTCACATGACGTGATCTCGCCAAAAACCACGCAACAACCATAGTCACGTGCCTAAAATCACCACACGTAACAGCTCATGTTTGAAAAATGTGCGATTTAAAATCGCACAGACGCGGAGACATTACTATTAACCCAACTGTCCCTGCTAGATCGCGTGACAGGTAGTCACGTGAAATATGTAGAACAAGGCGTCCGATAACGTATTCATTTCATATATATCCGATGGTCGCGAGATTGAATAATGCCCGTGGGGCTGCATTTTCGATTGAGGAGAAGACGTTTGAGAATCATGCGCTTATACAGATTTGGGTGCACTTAAAAGAACCCCAGGGGGTCAGGAGTCCGGGAACCCTTCATTACAACGTCCTTCATAATCATATCGTTTGTGAACGTTAAACAACAACTTTGATAATAATGCTATTTTTCTTCTTCTTATTGACATTATAGTTATTCCCTTCAAAGAACACCTTTCCCATATAGCCCAGATATGAGGTAGAGCTCGTGGTGAACATCCTATTTGTGTTGATTACAAATGAGACGTTTCAATCACTGCTTGTTATATATGAAGTCGATTTCCACGTTGCTGTTTCTGTAAATAATAAATGCAGAACGTTCGAGCTAAGTGGCTTTGCGCGATGGTCGAACCGAACCGGCACATGCTTGGGCTACGATAACTTCCGTCGTTTACTAGTGTGAACATGATCGATTTCATCCAACCAGCGCAGATGCGGCATAACGAAAGATTGAGAACAAGATGCGGCGCATCAAATCACATAATGTCCGAGCGGCTTGTCTGTCCCAACGGACGGCGACGATCCTTTGCTTCCGTCACTCTTTCTCATAAGGCCTTGCGATAAATGAGTAAAACCACGTTGCGGGCGAGTTTTCGTATGTGTTGAGCACCCCAGAGCAGTTATTAAAGATCTCGACAAGTTTAAGCCGCCGCACATATATATACGAGGAACGTTGCTGTTTTCTAATGGAAACGGAAACGCGAACAACGCTGTACCACACGTGCAATGACGTAAATAACAAAGGTGGCCGTCCGCTTACTTTTCCGAGGCTGATGAGCAAGTTCGCTAACTAAGGCGCTTCCGTCGGCGCGCAGGTCGCGAGGTATGCATATAGGCACGAGTAAAGTGGGACTGGTTAATGGGTCGTCGAAGCCGTCGCATTCCTTACTAAAGATACATTTTTTCAAGCTCTCCAGTGTGGCTTTGGCTGTTTTCCTCGGTGTATGCATTGTCCTTGGCAGAATGTAGAGAGCATGTAGTGGTAGGCTTGTCAGTCACTTGGGTGTATTCTTTCCTGTATGGGCAGTGGTTTTGCTGGCGCCTCAGACCTATGTGTGAGTGGTGCTTGTGTTGTCGTGTTGATTCATGGTCCGGACGCTGAATTTCTCGGCGAGCGTTGCCGCGCTTTCGGAATGAAGGTTCTTTGATAGCTATTCTCGGTTAGTTTCTTAAATATCGGTTGCTTTTCATTTGTTTAAATGCGCACGCCATTATTGGTACTTGTGCCTCTATACTATGGCGTAATTGACCGACTGGACGAACTTCGGGGGGGGGGGGGAGGGGGGGGGCTTTCCTTTGCCCACGTGTCTGGATTGCAGGTTCCCTTTTGGCCACTGGCCCAAGATTTTAGCTATTGAGGGAGGACGCTTGTGTTTGGAAAAAGTGGGTCATGATTTAGAGTATTATGGTCTGTTTCACCACTTTGGTTCAGCACTAGCAGAGCTACGGGGAGCAGGAAAGCCACATCCTTGCGCAGCGAAAGGTAGTCTTACATACACGTGCCTTACAATTGACAGGGTTGGCCAGAATTGGCGTTTCTTGCGTGTTTTACGCCCCGTCCATACATGAGTTACTTCTTCTTCGCATTTATTTCTTACGAATTTAGTTATTTGTGTTGGTTACGCCGATAACGGTGTTTAGAAATCAACATGGCAGCACCCATGCACAAATGACTGCCCGCCTCGATTCGGACTTGGTCTTGCTACACGCCCACTGCGCGGGCTGCAGTAAACAAATGGTGGAATCAGCCATCGATTTCTTTCATCTTACTCTGGGACTAAAGCATCAGGCACGTTTTGTCGATATTAGCGAGATATGCTGCTTGCTCAGCCGTACCTGCTAAGACTAATATGCCGAGGTGGTGTTCGGACCACGACCTATACTCTACTCCTGACCTGCCCAGAGAGCCCCTCTCCAGCACCAACGTCCTAGTTCATATATTCTGCCGCAAGGGCCGTAACCTACGAGCGGCGTGGCACTACTCAGCATCTGTTCGCTGACGTCACCTTCACTGTTTGTGGTCAAATTTTGACCAACAAAGCACTCACAGTGCGTATTTATTATGGAGAATTTATAAATATCCAGAAATAAATATACCAAATGTCATTCAGACTTTTTGCCCTGCCGTGGTGGTATAGTGGCTAAGGTATACTCGGCTGCTGACCCACAGGTCACGGGATCGAATCCCGGCTGCGGCGGCTTCATTTCCGATGGAGGCGGAAATGTTGTAGGCCCGTGTGCTCAGATTTGTGTGCACGTTAAAGAACCCCAGGTGGTCGAAATTTCCAGAGCCTTCCACTAGGGCGTCTCTCATAATCATATGGTGGTTTTGGGACGTTAAACCCCACATATTACATCAAGATTGCAAGCGTTGTGCCCCAAAAAAACTTCCGGTGATTTCATTTACCAGCTCGTAACATCGAAACTCAAAGGACGTTTTAACGTTTTTTCAAGGGTAAGGAGTCTCTTACTAGTTTTTCAGATAAAAAGAACGTGCGTATTATGCGTCCCAAAACCACCATATATGGTGGTTTTGGGAAGTTAAACCCCACAAATCAATCAATCATTCAGAGTGTTTTTTTTGTAATCAAATGGATGCGACAACACATAGGCTGTCCTACACCATGTAAATCTACGGGTTCCCACTTTTGCCAGCCAGTGTGCAATGCACTGAACAGCTTACATGACCAGCAATCTAAGTGAAGAAATAGTCACATATATGCCGGCAATTTACCACAGAATACGGGCATTCTTATTCCAGCGTCATAAAATCAAGCTTAAAGTAGCAGACGAACAGTTTATAGGTAGCGCCACCAGTGGTGAGCAGTTGAACGAGAGCGGGGACACGCGCTCACATAGGAACCCTTCTATCTGAGCAGGTCAGGAGTACAGCAGGTCGTGGTTCGGACTGCGTCGTCAGGCCAAGAACGCTGAATCTCCAAATATCGCACATGTGACCTCGCACAGGATTGCGTGCGTGTCAGTTCATATTTCGGTGGAAACAAAAAAAAATAGAAACGGCGCGTTACAGTGGTATAGACGCGAAGGAACGTGTCGACGGAGAAACAGGCATACGAGAGCCACGGACAGCGTCGGAGAGAAACCGCCACAAAGAGAATTTATCCGCCGGCATGAGAATCTACCGATCTTCAGCAGAGCAACAAATTCACGCTTATTCAAGTTTCCTGTGTATATAGTTGCTTGTTTAATAACTTTACTGCATGTTTAAGTTAATAACCTAGCCATAATAACTACAAATCGTTGAGCATACACAGTGAATACGGTGAGCAGACGACACAGCGCGAATGAATACATGTGCAGGGTCTAAGCACCGCTCCTATTGGCTGAGGGGCTGTATAGACTCCACGGTGCTGAAGAGACTTGACGCAGATATGAAATAAATCCCTAGGGTGGGCATCACAGCGTGCTATGCATTATTGCAAGTGATAATCAACAATGTTGTGCTTAGAAAAAGTGCCTAACGATTCAGTGTATTTGGTACTGTACTATGGGAAAGCATTAAGCCGT